GACACTGCAGCATTTAGGGCGCTCGTGGAAGGTGGAAGAATAAGATCCAAGTTCCAGGCTAGAATAAAGGCATGAAAGTCGGCATCCCACTTCCGTAGCCCTAACAGCAAATCTATTAGCTACACTGGAGTAGGAGGAGATCCTGTCCCACCAGAAATTCCATCTTGTCAAAATTGACATATATGTTTCTGGAAGAAAACTGACAACCCCCTGTTTAAAAGAAGCAGTATAGCTTCAACAATCAGAATTATTTTATTAGAAATTTGCCAGCCAGCTCGAGCTGTAATCCCACACTTCTTCCTGAGCTTGCTCCGTTCTTCAAGCACCACTGTTTAAGTTGGTATAACTCACAAAGAGGCAGGAGATGGTTTACATTTGCCTGCCAGCTCGTAGACTTTAAAACTGTCCAAAAAATACTGTGCACTAATTCCACTTGTGCTTTTCTCACAGGTTATGTTGCCGGCATTTATGATGCTGGGAGCAGGTGGAGCAGGATGTTGCGCTAACAGATGTGGGGTAAGTAGATATTTATGTGTTGAAACGTCACTATATGGTTTACACAATAGCTCTTAAATGGCTGCTTAGCAGGTGGAAATGTACAATGACAAATGATCACACCACCATCAACAGCCAAGTCAGGAAGATGCAGAAGTAGAGCTTGATCTACAGCGTTTCTGGGCTGGGGCTAAGAAATCAGTTAGCAAGCAAGAATGTTACAGTGTTGCAGCCACTGATATAAGGAAAATTATACATAGCCAGGACAGGTACTGAAGCCTTTAGCGACAATGCTGAGGGTTGAGGGGGACAAAGCTGCTTTACTCTACCCTCCATAAAGTAGAACACTGCTCCAGCTTCCTCCTGCCCAAGGAGATGCTAAAAGTTGAGGCAGCAGCCCATTCCTTCTGTTTTTGTCTGGTTCTGTTTCCTCCATACCCTTCTGTGGCAGTCTGCTTTTCCGCAGATTCGTTCTTCCATACCTCTGCACGGGCAGATACATCAGCTGCCTCGTTGGCCGCCACTGTGGGGTATCAGAGTTGAGCTCCACCATGAGGTGCCCGAAGCCTTAGTTGCTCCAAAGGGCATGGAAGAGCAAGCGCTGTTTTGCTGAGGCTGGTCCCAGGCTCAGTGCTCTGTGGACTGAACCTGCACAAGGCTTTGACCCATAACACACATTTGCCTAAGGGTTGTGCATATAAGAGGTGCAAATGCAATTTGGGCGCTCTGTCATGCAAACAAAGCCAGAGAGAATTTTCCCCTTGACATTAAGAATATTATAAAGGAACATGCTATACGGGCATCTCAATTACTTTTCAAGCTCTGGGCACAGATTGCTATGTGGCCATCCTCATTAACAAGAATAAACAGAATTAGAAAGGTTTTTCTAATCTGCAACCTTCCCAGAAGCAGCCTGTAACCAGATTCCGTACCATAAAGCATTTGTCTTCTGTAGTCTTCAAATAACTTCTAGTTTGATTCACGAGATCTTTGCCTCTTCAAGTTGTTTCACATTAGTTAACTCACTATTAATAATACCAAATGGCATTCTTCATTATGCCAACAGGTACATCACAAGGGAAACGCCTTTACACTGATTTTACCAAATCAGACCTGCACAGTGGGGAGGATTTGCTAAAGCTGGGCAAGTAGGCCAGTTGCAGAGCTGGGATGTGAGCCTTAACCTCCTGAATCCAAAGCCTTAGCCAGCTGCTTCTCCTGATTTTGAGTAATATAGAAAACTGGTCAAAAATGGCAGTACTGCGTAGTGCTGCATAGTACCGTGGGTGTTCATATGCTCTGCAGAACAGGTTAAGTCACAAGGAGAAATTCAGCTGAACGGGGCTCAGTTGTAATGCAATGTCTAGGGTCTCCCTTCTCAGTCCTCCATCTCAACGCTAAATATTACACTGGTCATCCCAGTTTAAATCTGAGCCAAGAGCCAGACTACCCCAGACAGGTTGGGTTTGTTGCCATATCTGATTTCCACCATCTGCTGACTCAGCCAATAGCACACTGCTGGTTGGCAGCCCACATCTGTAGACTGCCTGCCATCTGCAACTCTGCTTCCTCCATCCTTTAGCTGTTCAAGGCATTTTTAACTATGGTGCTTGTCTGCCACGTATCTTGCTAGCACCTTCCCAGCACTGACAGGTTATATATGAGCTGCTCTTCCTCTTCAGTATTTGTTATGGCAGAAGAATATAACAACCACTGTTGAGGAAATTCTTAGATTGTGCGCTACAATATCTGCGTAAAGAAAGCCAACGCTTAGTGATGAATCTACTCAAACCAAGCTAGAGAAAAGGCTTGGTAACGACAATTAATCTTTGAAGCTGTTGTCTTCTAAGATCATGGGAATTGCCCACCTCTTTAGGGTGGAAAGGGGTGCAGTTCCACAAGTCACCCCACGGCTTAAACAGAACGTGGCTCAATGTAGAGATGAGATGGAGGCACGAACATAGAGTGAGTCACTATGAACAGTGTTAAAAACAACAATGCGCTCTGTACAGGCCCTGGGGAAGAGTGACTTCCAAGCATGGAAAAAGACGTGAATTTTGCAGGGGCAGCTGAAGGCCAATGTGTTTCTTCAGAGGAAGAAATATCAGGGAAACTTCACTTTGGAAATAGTGGAAGGAACAGTGTAAAGACCTGTAGCAGAGATGCTCAGCCTTCCTGCCCGAGTATGGTGTGAGCCACCAGACATTGGAGAACAGGAGCTCTAGAACTGGTTCAAACATGCACAATGGCAACCGTGTCCCAAGGGCGCCAGATCCCCTTGCAAGGTGGGTCTAGGATGGACCTGAAACCAGGTCCCAGGCTCTTGGTGGCTTATTTCTCAGCCTCACCCATGTACAACTCTTCTGGCAGGGAAATAGCCCACACTGGAATTGCTCAGAAGCTAGCATGATCCAAAAACTCATATGGCCACCTTTCTGCTTTGGAGACCTTAGATGTAAAAAATTAGATTTACAGGAACACTTGGCATTGGTTTTTCGTGGCTAGTTTGGAAACTAAGACTAAAGAACTAATATTAATCAGAATTATTATTCAATCAGAACGCAACGATGTTCCTCAGGGTAGGGACTATCCTGCTATATTTTGTGCAATTCCTGGTTTAATAGAGGCCGACTTCATCACAGCCTTTACATGCTGCCAAAGTATCAACAACAAGAGTAATAACAATTACTGTATTTCTCATACCTTTATTCATCTTATTAAGTTCTCCACTTCACAGTGGGTCTTTTTTGCATTCTAATTATGTGCTTCATTGAGTAACTTTTCCCATTAATCCATTTTAAATTATTGCCTGCAAAGATCTCTAGATGTGTTTTTGTTCTTGCATTATGGAGTAATGATTTTGGAAAGTCACAGGTTTAGAAAGCGTCAGGGTAGTGCAACTTAGCATGTACACATCTAAAAGCATCCACTGGACAGGCGCAATGAGGAAAAAAGGCCCCCTAAATATATTGCTTACGTCATTACATCAGCAAACATATTTTAATACTTCCTTCTAAGCCTTCTTTAAGAGTTAGTAGTAGAATAAGAATAGCTTTAGCAGCTTTCCGGGAAAAAAAAACCTAGGTAAGCAAAGATATCTAGATAACTAGAGAGGATACCAGTGCGTCAAAAAACATCTCCAGAGAAAGAAACACAGAAGGAAAAAATCTTTTTGAAACAAGAACCGGGGCAATAAAGACTAGTACAGAGCGGTACAAGTTGGGAGAAAAGGAACTTGGTAACTTCACTGCAGCAGCTGGTTCAAACGCTCCAAGAATTAATACTGAAAGTCCTCATCAGCTTAACAAAGACAAACCAATTACGTAAAGGATAAATCAGGGAAGACTTTAAAAGAAAATCATCAAAGAGAATGAGCAGCAAAAACTTTGCAAGCAGCACCGAACAAGCCAACATCAAGGGAAACTGATAATGACAACAAGCTCAAGCATCCCAGCTTAGACTTCATTTGCAATCAAAGGCACAAGTGAAGCAATAAAAAAATAAAAAAGGACAAATGAAGGTGATGCAAATATGAAAATGTTGGAACACTGAGGTGATGAGATAATAAAATTACTGGATTTTCTTAGGATATGAGACAAGTCTCCAGAAAGTAGAAATAATGGAGAAATGCCTTTATGAGTCTAGAAAATGCCTAGAAGAGGCAATCTAACAGTTACAACTTGAGATTCCCATTTCAGTAAGAAATTTGACCATATAATCATACACATGGTAAAGGAAATACATGAGATGAAGCTAATTGTGCAGCCAATAGATTTCAAATCAGAAAAACATGTCTCAAAGAATAATTACCAAAGATTGCACTTACTAGTACTAACTACTGTCATAAAATCTATGAATAGCAAGAGACCATTTGATTTTTTCTGTTATAATTGATTTTGAGACACCCTATGCTGTTGTGTTGTGCTAAAAGAAGTCATCAGCATAATTAAGATCCTTATATCAAGTTGCAGAATGCACAGCTGAAGGAAATGAGGAAACATATGGGGAGAAATGGTTCAGCATAGACAGGAGTTTCAGAGTATCCGTCACTCACTTTCACTGCAAGGCATCACTGGTTATCTTATTTTGAGAGATAATGCATTGGTTACAACCCAAGCACTACAGGCCAGGACAATATATTAAATTATCTACGTTTTGGCTGACAGTGAAGCTCTGTTAGGAGGCGGCTGAGCCAATATGAAGATAAAGGCTAAAAGAGTGTTCAGCTTTGCAAAAAAGAGAGAATTATTAATCAGTTATGATGAAATAAATTTCACGAGAAATCCTAGCAGCTTCTAACTCAATTATTGCTTTAGAGGTGAAAGAACACACAAAGTGAGTCAAGTCACACACAAGGGTGTACAAAAGGCAGCAATGTCACCAGCTGGCAAGTTGGAAACTGCATTCACCGGCTTAAACAAGTCTGGGTATTGAGTACCTTTCAAGACTGGGTCTCAGATCTCCAGCACGGATGTTGGATGTTTCCATTTGTCACTCTAGCACAGAGCTCTGTGAAGCGGCTGACCGCTACCTTCTTTCTCGATTATTACATTTCACTAGTATTTGCAGGCAGTAGAAAAGGTTGAGGCCTGAGGTATTTGGTTTCAAACCCAAGTCCTGGATGGCAATGTTGCTCATATGCTTTCTCAAGTGGTCACCGCCCCGGCTCGCAGTGCCCTGATTCCTAGGCAGTCTTGCTGCCTCTCCTCTAGCCCAGGTCTCCCACGGGCTCTGCCAGTCTCCTCCACGAGTTACTTCTCTCTTCTCCTCCTTGGCAGAGTTGTGCACAACCACAAGGAGGGGCAAGACTGGTGGGTAGCCTTTCCCAGATATAATCCTGGTAGCACCAGGATGAAAAACTTGTTTCTAAATGCAAGCAGCAATGAGATACATCCCATCCATTAAATGAAAACTGTACCAAAAGAGAGCAAAGCTAAAGTTTCTGTGGGAGTGGCCGACGTGAGACATATGGGTACATTACATATAATTCAAAGTCACTACTTGTTTGTTGCCGCATTCAGCACAATCAGATTTCTCAGCCTGAGTAGTGGTAATATCATTTTATGCTGTTGAAAAGTAAAGGAAAGCAGTAATTGAAAGGCTCTTTTGCATTCTTCGTCAATTGTCAAAAACAAATACTGCATCTTCCAGTTCTTTCACACCTCGTTCAGTAATTCATTGCCTCCTGGTTTCTGTTTGTAGAAAAGTGCCATTGGCTGAAGAGCTGGAAATGCCAAGGCACGCAAAATATAGACCACATTAAGCCAAGGTGTGTTGGCTTCATATTGGCTTTTTGAAAGAAGATCCATGAGCTTTTTTGTAACTAATGAGTTAATTATGAAACTGAGTAAGCCCTGTGCTTATCCACTTTTAATGGAACAACAGATACAGGTTGAAATCTTTAGACTCCCCAGATAGCTGCGCTGGTCAGAAGTAGTCAACTACTTACTATTCCCACAAATATCACACTGCTGTGATGAGTTTCTGCATATAGTAGGAAATAGATAAAGATGGTTTCCTTCTCGTTCAGTGTAAGCTTTCCATCCTACTCAGTGTGTCTGTGAATATGCTGTTGAAGGTTACTTTTCATCCCTTTCAGATGCTGCTGTCTGTGGTTCTGGCTGTGCTGGGATTCGCAGGAGGAGTGTACTGTGCAATCATCTCCTCCTTGGGGCTAATTGGGGGGCCTCTGTGCGACACAGGTGATGGAGAGTACATCTACCCTTTCAGGAACGACACGCTGGAGTGAGTATGACTTGCAGACTCTTCCAGCTTCACATTGGCAAATCTCCCTGCACACACTGCTTTCATAGGAAACTTGAATTTTTTCAAAGTGAGCTGATGCTCCGCCCTGGTTAAGCTTGAATTCACATTTCTCTGAGCCAGCATGTTCCAGCTGGTCATGTCTTTGACCAATGGCTCATCTTTTGGCAAACTGCCTGTTTGCTCTGTTGTGCTTGTCAACATCCTTTGTGAAAGTTGCGCCATGCTTCCAAAAGACTGCTGAGTTGTGAACTGTGACTCCCATCAAAGTCAAAAGAAATTATTTGATAACTATATCACAGTATTCTGTAAAATCATACTGAACTGAGTCTACCTTATATACCTAAAGTCATCCTTGGCAACCACTCTTTTCATGCCAGAGCTGGAGAGCATGGATGGACAGAGCTGAGATACAACAGCAGAAATGGAGAATATGGAGACCCATTTTAAAGCCATTAGGGATCTTTCCCTTTAGTTATTAATCTTATCATAAAACAAAATGGAAGTTCTTGTGTATGCAGCAAAGTATAGGTCTAACTCTCCTCCCTAGTCATCAGCCACCCTATTGCAAAGCGGGTTCTTAAAGAGAATCACCAGCTTTTGCCAGTTACAGTAGAACTTGAGACTCACTTTGCATCGTGCAAACGAGCTCAGAAAATGTAACGTCAGAAAACACAAAGCCTTTTTATAATGGTATACAAGTCAAAGCCTTTTCATATTTTTGTTTTCTAATATATTGCCAATTATTTTTCTGTATCACAGAGACAATTATTTGTTCAATCGGACAACATGGAGCACTTGCAAAGAACCTGAAAACATCATCCTTTGGAATATTGTCCTTTTCTCTATTCTCCTGGCGGTCAGTGTGATTGAAGCTGTCCTTTGTTTTATTCAAGTCATCAATGGACTTGTTGGTTTCATATGTGGCACATGTATGAGAAACCGAAAGGTTGGTATGCAGTAAAAGGTATCAGAGTGCTTACATTCCTACCACTTCTCTTTTTCAAACTCTTTGGGAATGGTACACGGTTGGACAGATCTACAGAACCTCTGGGTGGACTCAGCTGGGGAGCTCAGGCAGTACAGATGCATTTGTGCATGGCCCTCTCTCCGTGACACTGCGGTCAGCAATAACTCGGTCCTCAGATATTTCAAAACAGTAGTGTGCTGTGCTGTACTGACACACTCAGTTACATGATTGTGTGGCTATTCAAGAAGCCTTTTTGACAAAGTGTAATGATCCCCCAGCATTTGTAAATAAGAGACATGCAAATTTGAGGGTTTTTTAAATGGCTAACAGTAGTAGAAAACGTCATTTTACAAAATGGCAGAAAACCTTTTTACAGTTTGATTTATCAACACTGCTTTCTTTTCATTGTTTGTTTTCATTGAACAAGATGCCTACAGTGAATGTGATATCTATGTGGACTGTTAATTAATCATCTTTCATTCATTGCCTTTCAGACAAATATTTCTGGAATGTGACTGATTTACAAGACGAGTCCCGAGCTGCGGATTCGCATACAATAAGGATCCTGCATTGCGCTGTATTTATGGGGGGGAGGGGGCAGTAAAGAAACCCCAGAACTTTCGGGAGTTTCAGGGGGGTAAAATGGATTCTTTTATAAAGAGATCAGGGTAGAAAAGGGTTAGATTATTTAGGATCTGAGATTCCAAATTTTCTTCTGTCTAAATATTCTTGCTAAATCTCAGGTACAGATCAAAACGCTAATCTCTGCAGCCCCAAGCACCCTGCTTGGGCATAAAACACAGTGGTTCTCAGAAGTTCACTGCTTTCCCTGTGGTGCATACGGAAACTAAACCATTGTTTAACATACGCTTTTATCAGCTGCGCTGTACCAGCACTCTCTGGCTGGACGTAAATAGCTTCAGGGCCCCGCAAAATCTAGGCTTCATCTCACCAGCCTATTCCCATTAACTTGCTAGCTGGGCACTCCCTTACTTAAATTAGGATCTGCAAAGAATATATTGAGCGGCATTTGAGACAGTGCAGATGCAACTGAAGGAAAGTTTTCTGCCTCTCTCAGTCACCCTGGAGCTAAATCCTCTTGTGCTTATTAGGTAGCTTTCTGTCATATCTGACAGAGTCCAGTGCACATCAAAATCAGTTTTCCAGGAGCATCTGATAGATACGATAACTGTGGAGGAGCATTTGGGGTCAACAAGGAAAGCAGGCTTTTGAGCAAGAGTTTAACAATGCCAAGTTTAACATAAAGGAGGAGAACCTCACCACGGTTTTGCCCTCATGAGACTGCATAGGAGTCTCACTAATTTCTGCGATATGGTTATCCTAGAACAGATCACATGGATAAGCAGTTAACCAGTAAAGATAAACATTAAATCAGTAAAGGCAATAATTGCATGCAGCTTAGTAACGAATAAGGGATGTAATCTGAAAGGAAAAAAATTTCATCAGCCTTAGTGTTACAGCAAAGAGTAATCCCAAAAGGAATTGCATATTTTGCCGTCATCACTCAAGATCAAGTCCTTGATGCTAAAATCCATGACTAGCACATTTCAGAAATTCTGTCATTTCAGTGGCTTCCTCAAAGACTAATTCTTAGACATGCCACTGACTTCTCTGAGTCTGCCAAACTGTGAGATAAGTTTTATCCATCCTAAATGCAGGTGTACAGTTAAGAAAATCTGAATTTATATAAAGTCCTTAGAGTCTGTTTTTCAAAAAGAGGCATTTATATTTTCTCATTCAAAAGTTGTTCATATTTCTAGATTGCAGCATAAGAGCAAGTTATCTGAATACATTCAGAACTTACAGACACAGCTGTTTGTATGCTGCATTAGAGGGCAGCCCAAAGTCCTTCATACAAACTGGCAAAGGAAATGCCAGTTGTGCAAAAATGAGTTGCATATATATACTTCCTTGGTGCGTTGTTTCACCACTAAAAGCAGGAAACTTGACTCATAACACCTAAAAGTACATTCTGTAAAGCATAAGAGAACAGACATGCTGGGTGAAGTTTGGAAACATAACTAGCTGTATCCAAACCCTCCAAGTGGCTTCAAAAGCTAACGCTTCAGCGGTGAAGCCTGAACAAAGAGGACATCAAAAGAAAGCCAACTAATTCAGCCAGGAAAGGAGTCATGGAGGCAGCTAGAAGTGATGATATGCAGCATGTAGTCAGCCCAAGAAAGACTCCACCATCAAAAGAAGAGCTCTGTAAGCTCTTCCCTCAGTATTAGCCCTTGCATCTCTGTGGCGAAGTCAGTTTGCGGTGCCAGCACTGGGAGTGGGGGAGATACCCCCTGGCACGTTCCACCTCAAGCAAGGAAAACTAAATGTATTGCTGCCACATGCATGCTCCAAGTTGTCCTGCCCTGGGCACTTTTAGTGTCCAGTCTGTGTACTAATCAGAAATACTGTCTATTCTGACCACTGTGCAGTTCATTGACTTTATTGATACGTGTAAATATTAAATATTGCTATTCTGAAATTATTTTCTGGTTTGACTTGTGTGGCCTGCCTTCAGTCTAGCTCCAGTAAGAAGAGCGACATAGAACAACACAGAAAGTAGAGTGAAATTCATCTTATCTAACTTGAACCATCAAAAAGGGGCTTCTTCTGGGGTAGGCTTCAAGTTCTGTAGTCCATGGAGAAAGATAGGCTTCTCTCAGCCCATTCTGAAATCGATGTTTAAGGCAGGTGTGAGGATTGGTACCTCTGGGCATGGTCCAGTTGTCCACACCAGATAAGAGTATCTAGTGCCATTTGAAATGCACTGAGGTATCCCGCTCGGCCTCCAGGTGCCAGGTCTTTCCAGTGATCAAAGAAGAGAGTCATAAAAACGGAGGCTTTTCTGGTTGGACAGAGCTTCAAAATAAAAAGGCAACACAATAATAGTAGTAACTTCAGTTTGGGCAAGAGAGTGGGCTTGACTAATAGCAAGATGTCGTATTTCAGATTTGAGATTACTACAGATTTGAATTGTTTTCTTCAAATCAGAAGGAATCCTCTAAATGAAATCTCCAAATGAAGAAAAAGAGGCATTTTTGCCTCAGAAATGTTTTACGAATGAAGAATGTGGTAAAACTAAGGAACTCATAACATTTTTCCATGTCACTATGCTTTTTTACCCCCCCAAAATAATGGTAAAAAACTCAGATAATGCTAATGAGCAAATATTTGTTCAATGTTTATATTTATTACTCACTGTGGACTCTCACCCCACAGACTCTCATACAAGGATTAAAAACACATTACTTTCTGATCAAATTATCCTTCTCCCTTCTGCCATTTGAAACATATGCTCAGACACATTTAGAAACTGTAAATGTTTAGAGATCAGTGGCCTGATCTTTTATCTGCCAGGGTCAAGGACATGATTGAAATGCCTTTGTCGGAAACTAAAGGCTAGTCTTATTTCAGCAGAAATTATCCAGTCATTTTGATGGAAAAAACTCAGATGCCTTAGGCCCTGGTGCTCCATTTTTCTTGGCACTCGGAGCAAAAAAAAGCAGTGGAGAGGCTGGTCCCCACAGACCTCCCCACGCTCCCACGCACACCACGACCCACCACGCTCTGCTTTACTGCCCTTTCCCCAGCCTTGCTTCGTTCCTCCCAGGGGGGTTCTTTGCAGGCAACTGCTTTTTTTGCAAAAAAACTTTTAAAAAAATCTCAAAGGAAATTTAAAACATAAGAACTTTTCAGCTCCTCTGAACACTTTATTTCTTTTCCTACAAATATCACTGGGCTTTCCCCTTTCTGAGAGAGTCTCTCGGGTCAGTCTCCCTTCTGAAACACCTCTTCCCTGGGGGACCTTTCTCCCCGCTGGCTGATCCCCTCTCCTGGGCCCACATGCCACAGAGAGCCATCTGAACGCCGAGCATCGACAGCGTCGGGCGTTGAAAGCACAGAGGCGAGGAGGGGTCTCTTTCAAAGGCAGAGAGGCCACAACATTTTGTTCATCACTCTTTCTTCCAGTTGGTTAGCTTCAAACTCTGAGTTTTGCACTCAACCTTCAGTTGAGTTTCCCACATGTGGGTACCCAAGGCCATTGGAGATACCTGGGAATATCCTAGCTGCTAGTCCAGCAGGGCATGTGTCTCCCACAGGTACTCTATAGTATCTGCCTACCTATCTGGACATCTCAGATGCTTTAGGGCATCTCAGGTGGCATCGGATGCTTCTATTTGAGCAGCTGAATCAAATCCTGAGGTATCTTCTGGCTCCATTGGCATGGCTCTTAAAAGCAGCCTCAGAGAGCTGCCTTCTCCCTGTCCTACCTCCCAGGGTGACCTAAGACAGGTGACTGAATCACATCCTAAAATTGCATATTTCTCCCCATCAGTTATGCAGGGAGCTTGCAGTGACGAGTTGAGCAGCCACTACCCTAAGCTGTAGACATCTCGCATGAGCAGGGAGATGAATCCCACCTCTGATACCTTTCCATTGATAAGATTTCTTTTTCTTTTTCTTTTTCTTTTTCTTTTTCTTTTTCTTTTTTTTTTTTTGGAAAATAGCTATATTAGCTGAGAGTCACCTAGTGGTGAAAGAGCATAATAACAGATTCAGTGAGGAAATCATTCTTTATATAATCTCATGCTTATACAGTCCTTATTTCAAGCACTATATCTCAGCCAAAAACAAATGGATTCATATGAATTACCTTACACATACTTTTTCTCTGAGTCTCCCTCATCCCACTGTGTAAAGTTTTCACTTACATTTTATTCTACCACAGGTCTGCCCTACGCCCTGATCTTTAAATGAAGTCTCCCTGGAGATTTTTAGGCTTGCTATTCTTTGCTGTTTTTTTTTTTCCAAGAAACGATAGAAAGCAAAGTTGATCCAGACTTTCACTGCAGATGTCAAAGAATGAATTCAAATCTTGCTTTGGATTTGTTGAAGGCAATGTCGGTAGATTCCCATGGGAAGGGTGCTGGCTGGGCCAGGCGGATGCGGCGCTGGGTATCTCCTCCCGGCCTGGCTACCAAACAGTGTGCGACCGGGCTGCAACGGGCTAGACCTTCGACCCTTTTTTGTTGCTGCCTGGAAACGTGCAGCGAAACTGTTGTACATAGAAAAATGTTTAGTCACTTAGTGCGTAAATAGTGCTTTAAGGCTTTGAGATGTCCTGTCTTGAGTAGGGAAGGCAGCCTAGAGAAACTAGTGTCTCCATTGCCACCCACAGTTCCAGTCTTTGTGACTTTGTAGCAGCTAAAGTTCAGAAGAAAGAGCGTGTTTCTAAGTATCACCCAGAAAATGTGCCTTTAAAAGACACCGTGTCTCTTTACTGGCATTTTGTACACAAATAATTAAGTGAAAGTTAAAAGCTTTATCAGTAAAAATAGTATTTATTTCTAGATATAAAGTAAGATTTTTTCCTAAAGGAGATAATAAGTTTCTGTCTGTCAGGCTTTTTCATATCCTTTAATTTTCACCTTTTCTTAAACGCTCTTCATACAGCCTTAGTGCCAGATCTCTGCACAACTTACCAAAAGTCTTATTTTCCCTTCCCCTTCTCTAGGCAGTTTCTCCTGAACACAGGATTTAAAGTCATATCTGTTTTGGCAGGGATTTGAGGGAAACCCTTCTCGCCTGTTGATCTGCGCTTTGACCTGGTCTCTCTCTCGGAGGCAGGGTGCGCCGGCAGAGCTGGAGCTCTGATTCCCCAGCCCAGGAGCGCAAGCGCTGCCCCTGCTAGCAGCCTCGGCCCCCGGCCTGGCTCTCTGCAGGGTGCTGTGCGGAAGGGTGACCGGCTCGTCAGAGAGGTGCAATCGAAAACACCGCCTTCCCTCACTTTTCCCCCTTATTCCACATAGCCACTATCAATGTGCATGAATTCTCAGCATTAATTTAATTGCTGAACTAAAGGTCAGCTTAACTTACACTGTATTCATTTCAAAGAACAGCTATTCCCGGGAGGCACAGTGCAGAAAACCTTAGAAAACATTATAGTGCCTGCTCAATACACATCAGTGAAGAAGGAATGGTTGATTTCCATACTGAAAGGATCTTTCTGCTCCACAGATAAACACAGGTATCCAGGAAAGCCAGGTTACCTTCATAAAAAGGGTATTTTTAACATAGAATCAGTTATTTAGAATCACACCAGAAGAGACAGGTGAAAAAGATTCACAGCACAACTAGACAGATAACTGTACGGCAACTCTATAGTAAATATATGCAACTTATTCCCTAAAGCGTATGTGGGCTTTTCTCAGAATTTTGTTCTTTTAAAGGGAGCTTCAGAAAGTAGTTAAACTCTGTATCTTTGCTGTTGTTTTATTGCACAGTCTGATAAAACCTCCCAGTCCTGCCTGTGTTCAGAAATGAAGCGATACTGCACTTGCTTTGAATATAGCTCCTTCAACTGATCATCGGTAGATCTTCCTTCACCATTTCCTGAGTTTATTTTGGTTGCTATAGTTCAGTCAACTGTGAATAAACAAATTCTTAGCAGTATCTTCTGTGTTAACCTTGTGCATAGAACCTAGAGAAACGGATACGGATTATTTACATACCGTTTCCTACCAGACCAAATATAACTTTTAGCCTCATTTAAGCCAAGCTGGTATTACCCCTCTCAATACTGTTCATTTACTCTTATCAATGCCTATTCTTAGCCTCATATTCTCTGCTGCCCATAAAAGCAGGATTGGATATTTCCCTCAGAAGGGTAGAAACTGAAGGATGACCAGTAGTCTCTGCATCCAGTTCTCAGGCTTCTGGGATTACAGCTCTGTTTCAGACTGCCTCATTTCTCCCAAAGTGCAGTAAATTAATAGTTATCAGTTTTGGGGGGATTTTTTACAAGATAACAATATTTTTTTATAATTTTTCTATTTTTTGCTCATTGTGAAGTCTACGAATGAAAATAGTCATAAAACCATCATTCATCTCTGTGATCTAAATTAAGCAACAGAAGATGGCTCTGAATATAGCAGGTGTAGTATCTTTGAGTGTGTTTTATACATTAACTTTAGCTACCGGAATTTGGGCTTCTTGGAAAAGCAAAAAAGATCAGAAGAACAGAAACCCCACTGAAATGGCCATAGTTGGAGGGAGGAATATGAATGTTTTCATTGGATTGTTTACTGCAACTGGTAAGTTTTCTTACAGGAATGTTTGTATTCTTCTTAAAACGTATATATTACATGCAGCTGGGGGCCTTTTTTTTCCTTTCAAAGCAAGTTACATCCTTTAATGTCAGGACACATTTAACGTGAGCACGGCTTTAAAGGAGTGTGGTTTCGTGAATCATTTGGGGATGGATTCTTCTAGACCTCTTTGTGCAGAACCTTATGTTTATGTAGATTCTTTTAAATTAAAGAGTATGGCCTGAAGAATGTGGTGCTTTTCATTAAGGAGGAGTGTGGTCTTAGTCTTGCATCAGTTTCTGTTACTCTGTGTAACAGAAGGACCTTTACTTCCGGAATAATCCAATCCTGCATGGAATAAATTGGTCCCTACGGTGAGCACTGGCTCTCACCTGGTGGGAGCTATAAAGAGAGAATGTTTCCCCACCGCCGGCTGCGCTCCTCTGTCCTCTTCTCCCCCAGCTGCGTGATATCATCTGGAATTTGCTTCCCTGCTTCTTTTTTGGTGAAGGCTGCCCCAAGTGCTATCTGTCTAGCTAATATATTTAGTTAGGGCCATCCTTAGGTTTGTTGTTCTGACTGCACTGCCTTCTCGCATTTTTTTTCTTCATAAGGTCTATTGTCTTAGCCTGTGTAAGGGAGACTCAGTCATGGCAGAATAACAAAGGCCCTTCCCTCTGCTCTAGCGAACATCTTCCACTGTGAAAGAATGAAATAAAGAATGGGCAGTTTCAAACTGCCTCTAAATGCCTAAACACTGATGAGCTTTTGCATGCACACACAGATATTCGTTCTTGAACCTAACCTTAAACTTATTTAGGATGGGATTCTAATGCTGTTACCCCTACTCAATTGTACATATCACTATGCGAGAAGATTTACGAAAAGAACAGGTGTGTGATTAAATGTTTTGCATATGAGCAAAAGGTTTCCAAGCTCTCAAAGTGTTCTACGAGACTAGCTGAGAATAGGTATCATATCTCTTACCTTTACATCTTTCATGTTCACAGCCACCTGGGTTGGAGGAGCATATATCAACGGCACAGCTGAAATTGTCTACCTGCCTTCAAAAGGACTATTGTGGGTCCAGGCACCTGTGGGATTTGCCTTGTCCCTTGTTATTGGTAAACAATTAATATAGTAGTCAGGACATCGTAAGACTTTTTTTAAAAATCATCTGGGTGTGTTACAATGGGTAACAGAATGTAGAGTATATTTTAAAGGTGATTTCACTTCTTCAGTCTCCAATAAATTCAGAAAAAGCATTTAAAATCCTATCCTCTAAATTGAAACATTTGAAATCGGGGTGGCTTGGAACAGGTGCAGAGCTTTGCCTGCCTGCCTGGAGCAATTTATAGGTGAAAAATCTTATCTGTGAGCATTAGAAACACGTGGTTATGTGGGCATCACTTTTTTACCACAGTCCATTAGTCACATGATATTGAGAGTAGCAGTATCATTTCGATTTTTTCTTTTAAATTTTTATGCAATGAAAGAACGCCATCTTGATCCATCACCACTCAAATGCATCCTTCTGACAAGTCTTATTGCAAGACTAATTTCTGGTGGATTCAGCTAAGTCCCGCTTAACAGGCGTTTGCTGTTGTGTTGAAACAGACACGCACCCTTTGTGCCAGCTAGGTTTGCAGTGTCCTGTGCCTGTTTCTGACTCCAAGGATTATTGGACTCCTGCTGAGACTGAGCTGTCTTGCCTATCTTCCTCTGTGTAAAGAGGGACGGTAAAGACCAAAGTTTCTTCCAGGCCACACTGGATTTTGCTGTAACTCTCTAAGGATACCTGATGATTAAAGTAAGGAAACTTGTGCAGACCTTGCACAATAATTGTTAAAACAGCAATAACCTTTATTGTCAAGTCAGAGAAAAGAGTCCAACTGACGTGAATATGAATCAGGCCTGGAAATATACTGCCAGCGTTTCGTATGTGAGTAATTCTTACTAATGAAATTGGGGAGTGCAGGGCTGATCCTGCAATCTTTACTCAGGTCAGTAGTGCCCAGACAAGCAGTCCTGCTGGCTTCAGGGTTAGGCACAATACACGTTCTTTGGTTTTAATGAGGCTGCTGTGTGACAAAGATCTAATATTTAGATGAAGGTGGGTGGGACTCAGTTCAGTGTGCAGTTTAAAATGATGTAATTGTGGGAAGAGACAATGAAGCCACTAAACTGAAAATGTAAATGCGAAAGGAATATATATGAGTATGGTGCATCAAATGGTCAAGGACAAAATATTTGGTTCTTTTTCACCAACTATGGGTCTCTAATGCTTCTCTCTCTGCCTACTGACATTTGTCTAGGGAAGCATTTCAGAAAATTGTGTGTCTCGTGGCATTCAGGTTGACAGGTCATTGGAGATGACGGGTGGTCTACACGCAAGTATCTTGTCAGCTGCATCTCCAAGTTCCTGTTATAGTCAATGGAGCTGTACTGAATACAGTCAACAGACCTAGAGTTCAGCTAAGTCTTAAGCAGAGATTTAGGCGTACACCTCAATTGCCTAAGCACAGGTATCTTGTGCCATTTTGGGATGCCCTAGGGGATCCTGTCGCACCTCCAGTAGCCAAGCCAGAAAGATGTAGGTCTCCCAAAAGTTCTGGGTCATAACTGCCAGCTACAAGCAGATGTCCCTGATAACCTAGAACCTTTCAAATGGGTGAAATCCCCACATTTAGGCAAGGCAATCGAGTCCCTGGTGTCTGGCCAGCTGCATCATTCTCTAGGGTCCATTGCCTATAAGAGAGCTCAGACATGCAGTTCACATGAGGACAACTACATTTACATGTCTTGATCTCAGACTGAATTCCACACTTGCTATATGAGTCTGATATAAACCCTGACATTTTTCTTGGGAGATAACTTTTTCACAGAACTCTGCATGTGTTATCCTTTCTGATAGGTGGTTTCTTCTTCGTAAATCCGATGAGATCCAAGAATTATGTGACAGTGATGGACCCCCTCCAAGAAATATATGGGAACGTGATGGGAAGCCTACTTTTCATTCCACCACTGCTAGGAGAGGTGTTCTGGTTTGCAGCTATCCTGGCTTCCCTAGGTAAACACTTACTTTGCTATTATATTTGCTGAAGATCATGTGGCACAATAAGCAGAGTATAATACAGATTTAGGAATTGTATTGGACTAAGCTGTGGAAAGCTGTGCTTCTTGTCTCCTTTTGTGAGAGGAACATAACCATTTCTAATTTCTGAAAAATATATTCTTTAGGTTTAAAACAAAACTGATGGAAATGGCTCATTTTTGGCAGTTATATATATTCATTAGATTATAGTAGAGAATTCTGGCGATGTGATTTGTTACCTTGATCTTACCCGTGGCAGAGCAGATGCAAAGAGGCAAAGTGACCTGGCTAAGGCCATGCAGAAAGGTGGTAGCAGAAGCAGAAAGGGAACACAAGTCCTAGCTCTGTCTGCTCTCTGCTAGACCACACGCTCTTCAGCCAGCAAGGTGTGCCAACGCTGAGGTAGAGCTGCAGAGGGGATCCGGCTTTGCAGGAAGTGATGCCACTGTCAAGAGATAATGACAGGAGTGGTGTGTATGGACAGGGGGTGGGGAAGTAGAGTGCTGGGCAAGCCCAGAAGAAGGGGTGGGGAAGGCAGTGCTGTGAGATGCAGCCATTCTGGGAGTCTGGGTGAGAAGGGTCTTGCCAGAACGAGGAAGGGGGACAAGGAGACACTCTGGAGTGAGCCAAAGCAGATAAGGAGATGTAGGCAGGAAGAGGAAATCTGTTAGAAAACAGAAAGGGAACTACTCCATTGCCATGAGTAGTATATCCCTATTTGTTCTGTATTCCACAACTTCATGCATGAAATCTATGTTAAAATACTTAGCTATTTTCCTTGTCTGCAGGAGCAACGATAAGGGTCATCTTGGATATCGGAAGCTCTTTGGCTATCATCCTCTCAGCATGCACTGTCATACTCTACACTCTACTGGGAGGCCTCTACTCTGTTGCATACACGGATGTCATCCAGCTGATTTTCATTATCATCAGCCTGGCAAGTCCTGTGTATTTCTTTGTTACCAGTTTCCTAACTAAGATAAGGGATAAACTCCTGCTCTTCTTTTCAGCATGCGTGAGGCCAGAAATGACTGCATCAGCACTGGCCACTGCCCCACAGCTCCTGTTCAGAAGAAGACCTTCAGAGAGGTCTTCCAGGTTTTGTATATGTTAGACAGCACTTACACAAGCTATTGGCCTTGCTGGGTGAATGCAGCTGCCCACAAGTAAGGTCTGCAGAATCTGTCCAGAATGATCTTGGCAGGAAAGGAAAGAGGTCTGACTAATGAAGGCACCAATTGACCTGAGTTACAGACTTGTACTCTTGATGATGCTATGGATCAGAAATGTGTAGATATAGAGTAAGGAAGGAGAGTAAAGGAAAACTCTCTTAGTCTGGGATGAATCTTACATAACTTTGTCTTCTACATGTACCTTACTTTCTATATCTGAATGGATCCCCCATGAACAAGGACCCTGGGGAACTGGTTGACTATCTCTTTTTCTATCCTAGTGGGTCTGTATCCCCTTCGCCCTGACGAACTCTGCAACAGAAAGTATTTATTACACTGCAACTCATAAATCCTACCAAGCCCCTTGGATCGGGAAAATAGAAAAACAACATATTGGAAGATGGCTGGATGACTTCTTCTATCTGGTAGGAAATATTTCTTGGACAGGTGGTTGGGAGAAGGAATTGAGAGGGTTTTTCTGTCTGGAAAGCTTGTGAGTTCCTCCAGGCAGGAGCACTACATTGCACAGTTGGCAGAGGCAGGATGAAGTTTAAACTCGTTCCTCAGCCGCTCTGCAGCACATTGAATGGGCTGGGGATATCCAGGGCTCAGCTCTGGGTTGGACAGAAGAGGTAGAGACTCTGTATCCTGCCGCCTTCTCCTTACTCCCAGCACCTGTGTGAAGGAACGGTGCTTCTTCAGTAAGACCATCCAGACAACTAGTTCCACACCAGACACTAAACTGGCCATTTCCTATCTTTTGAGAAGTTGGCCTTATAGGCTCAATAATGTACTTTTAATGTGATTATGTTTAATTCTCTCTATTTAAAAAAAATCTATTAAGAAAACAGTACTGAAGACCATTAGCATGTTTGGTGCTGTTACCTCCACTGCACAACTCAACTTTTGAACTATTAGTATAAACAAGGCTGTTTTTCTCTTGCTAGATTGGCAATAGAGACCCACAGAAGCTTGAGCTTGTTTGGTCAGTACAGAATCTTCATATTTTATCTGATGAAATTTGTCTGCTGAGCAAGTGAAAAATGGCTTTTTTTTTTCAGGTTATACTCTAGCCAAGCTTGAGTAAATCTTTACAAAAGTCACTTCCCTGACAAATTTCTCTTTTCTTTCCCTTCCTCTCCTCCTCTTTTGCTGCATCAAATAACTTATTTTTCAGAAGTCTCAGTGTTTCAAAGTCTTTCAAATTTTCACACCCATCACAATTAAAACAAAAGAAAAGAACACCTTCAGTCATAGAAAATTTCAGCCTGAGTGGCTGAAGTTGAGCAGAGTTGGTGCACTTGACGTGAGGGTTTTATAACAGGAAAGATTACCATCCACTCAGAGTGGATGGTTGACTCTACAGCACCCAGGAGTCAAGCAGGGAATGCTGCTGACATTTGAATGTTTCAGGTGCTTGGGACCATCCCGTGGCAAACGTACTTCCAAAGAGTCCTCTCCACTGCCTCACAGGGACAGGCAAGGCTCATTTCTTATCTCTCCGGATTGGGGTGCTTCTTAATGGCCATCCCCTCTGTGCTCGTTGGGGCAGTTGCAGCATCAACAGGTAAAACTAAATAATTTGTCTCTGAATAATGAACTTGTCTTTTTACCAACGGTGGTTAAAATGAGACCCAAAGAAGTTCTAATTTAATCTTCCAATTACATGGCTCAGACTTTCAGGAGCAGAGCGTACCTAGAAGCCCTTGGTGGGAGATCTGGCTACCAAGTTAGAAGCCTGTATCGGACTCCTGGAGCTCTCTGCAGCTCAATGCATGACTACCTAGCAATATTTATACAGCTAAAAGGCCTATATAAAGCCATTTCATTATGGTGAAATGGCTTTCATGGACCTTCTGGTGAGGAAAGATGAAGGCAGAATCTGTCATCAGCTGTGTCTGGTATGGTAGATATGCTTCAAAAAGATTTTTAAAATACTGTAAAATCCTTTTCGCCACAAAACATTATCCTGTTATTACCTTCTGCATGTAAAACCCACTAGTGTTACTACTGATTGTTAATAATGTTCAGGAGAAAAAAAGCTCAAAGGAATCAAAATGTTCAGTTCTGTAAGCTCAAAGCACGGGTGTTTAGTCTTATATTGGCTGTGAGCAGGAGCTAAAGAGAAGCCAGATCACTAAACATTTAAAGATATAGCTTGATGTTTATGAATTCATCTGTCATTAGGGGCATCAGAGAAAAACTCCCTTCTCCTAGCAAGTAACGTCTAGAAAGTGGGTTGATCTTAAAGTGTCCCATTCCTGGAAGCACACAGAGCACAGCTTTTCCTATAGATACTACTGGGGAAGAGGAAAAATGTGGATCCAGTACAAGCTGCAGTATGCTAAGGGTAATCAGCTCGTTTCAGGTGCAAATTATAGCCAAGGCCAGGTAAGAAAAGTGCTCCTGAAGACCTCCAGAGCTCAATTCTGCCCAGCCAACTGACCTTCATCTCTTTTGCATCCATTGTATAGACTGTCCAGAGAGCAAGCTGGTCTTGCTCGTGTTACGATTCTGCTTCTGCCTTGAGATTAAGGAACCAATAAGGCACCATATTAGGGTTTTTTAACCATGCCCAGCATGCCCAACCCTTAGTGTGTGCTAGTACCGGTGTAATCAAAGCACCCAAGAGGCAGCAACCTGTGGGATCTCGGCTCCTTTCATCCTAGAAGAGGTCCACATGAAGGGCGTCACTCTGCAGGCAGGGCCCCTGACTGCCTGGCTGTGAGTTACACACTTTCTACCCTTCATCTCTGCAGAGATGAATGAGCCTAGAATTCAGTTAGTCTGTTTTCCCAGGTCAGTCACCTCTTAAGCATACCTGGCTAATGAAACATATTCACCTGAGAAACTCTTGGGCTAAGCAGAGAGGTTCCTAATTAATTTAACTACCTACAAGAGAATATAGTTCTAGGAAGGAGGCAGACTGGACAGTTGTCTGGGACTTAATGGATTAAGGTGGCCAAACCTGAGTTTAGGTGGGATTTTCCCTATGCCTGCTACAGCTAAGGCAGTGGCTTACACCCCAACAAGAGACCTCAGGGTAAGTATTTAAGAATACTTTCTAGTGGGATAAAGACAGTGAGACACAGGAGTGCCTACTGTTTGGGGACGATGTCAAATCTTCATCAGAGAAGTTCTTAAAAACTATAAATCTGTCAGGTCAGGAGTCACAGGACAGCACTGGCCATGCTTTAGGACAGGGAGGGAGTAGAGAACCTCTGTAAGTACCTTGCAGCCCTTTTTTTTCTCTGACTTCATGAACTGCTTCTTTGTGCATTCAACCGACTACTCACAGGATCAAAAGACCCTGTTTGCATCTAGTATTGGATTACTGTGGCCTTCATCATTGCATAAAGAGATGATAATAAATGTAGGTATTTCCTGCCTGGATCTGCAGTCCCCCCGTCCTTTCATTACCTTGCTTCCTAGCCTGTAGTAATCACAAGAGAAGGCAAGAAATAAATCTAAATCCTAAAACACTGAGTGGCCATCCATCCTTAGCCCTGCTGTGGCTGATCGCTGTGGAAAGGTAGCTGCAAAAACAGTAGAAATGTTAATGAAAGGTTTATTGTGACTTTTCCCTGTCTCTTTTAAAGACTGGAACGAGACAAACTATGGTCTTCCAAGTCCACTAGACAGAGGAGAATCAGCCATGATACTGCCATTTGTTTTACATTATCTCTGCCCAGCATACGTCTCCATTGTTGGTTTGGGAGCCATCGCTGCTGCCGCAATGTCTTCTGCAGACTCAGCACTTCTCTCTGCCAGCTCCATGTTCGCTCACAATATCTACAGAAAAATCCTGAGGAAAAAGGTACTGGGTTGTGGCATTCAAAAGTTTTTGTATTAGGACAGATGTTTTTGTGTCAGGATAGATTCAAAGCCAGTCTGCACTGTCAGTGATCAGAGGGGCCCTTCAGCTGCTGAATTGAGCTCTGGATCCAGAGCTTAAAACACAGGTTAATGGTATTCATTTCCTCAGTAGGGATATAAATACCCACTAGAGTGAGTCTTGCTCGTTATAAGGTGACGGGTATAAAATTTGGACCAGGGTGTTAATCGGAATAGCATAAAGTCATGAGGCTTAAAATTACAAAGCACTTCTCCAATTTATACGGCCGTGGCCATATCTGGAATGGGACAAAATGGGTGCCTGCCTTCGGCAGCTGCTGGAGGTGAGCACCACCTGGATAAAGCGAGAGCTCTGGAGAAGGGGTTGGGGGGTTCCCTGGAGTGGGACCGTGTAGAGTAGTGTTGATCCTCGCAAGTCTGGCCTGGAGTGGGGTGCAGCTCTTTCTTCCCAGGGTTCTGCATAAACCTCTGCCCCAGGTGCCTGCTGAGCTCTTATGGAGTAAAAGAGGCTGCTCTGAAGGAGGCAAGTCATCCCTCTGGCTCTGGGTGAGGCAGAATCTGAGGAGTCTGAAACTCCCGAGGACCCGAGACCCAGCAGCTGTCGCGTCCCAGAGCAGAAACACTGGCACTTGACTCCACAAAAGCCAACACCTCTCAGCCATCTCCCTGCCACAGCTCACTGGAAGCAGATGAACCCCACCATCAAAGCTCTACCTACTCCTGCTGAGCACCAGTAGCACCCCAAATGCTGTTGTTCCCCCTAGAAGCAGTGCAGTGGTGGCAGGTGACAAAGCTTGATGTTGTCAGTTGAAATTATACCCAAGTAGCTGGGACAAGCTATTTGTCTCAGTGTAACAATACCAACATCATTTAAGGGAGTCCCCAGTGTCTGTAACCTTGCAATCTCCTGTTTTACAGGCTACTGAGAGAGAAGTCTTATGGACCATGAGGGCCTCCATGCTGGTTTTTGGGACTGGAGCTGCTGGTCTGGCTTTTTACTCCTCTTCTGTCTACGACCTCTGGTTCGTCAGTGGGGAGCTGGTGTATGCCCTGCTCTTCCCTCAGCTGTGCTGCACCCTGTTCGTTCCCAACACCAACACCTACGGCTCGGCTACTGGCTTCTTAGTTGGGCTTCTCCTGAGGCTGCTAGCAGGGGAGCCTGCCCTAAAAATCCCGCCTATTATCCGGTACCCAGGCTGCTCCCTCGTGAATGGGACCTACATTCAGCTGTTCCCCTTTAAAACATTCACTATGCTTCTCAGTTTGGGGACGATCATTGCTGTTTCATACCTGGCTGCATTTTTGTTTAAGAGAAACCTCCTTCCCCGCAGATGGGATATTTGCAACATCATCAAGGAAACCAGCACTCTCATTCCCCTACAGCAGATGGAGAAACAGATGGGTTTGCAAATGATTGCACTAGAAGAGCATCATCATTAAATGCGGGGCCTCATTTGAAAGGACACAGTGTGTTCTGCAATTAGAGTTTGGCACAAACAACACTGCTCTTCCCTTTGCTTTCTCCAGGAATGAATAATATAAAGCCCTTGTAGAGTAATAAACACGCACTTCGTTCATGCAAAGAGAATGAGTAAGCTCAAAGTCTGCAGTGATTAAAGGCGGGTGGTGATGGAGCATGATCTTGTAATGATGACCGAGGGGTACCCTGGGTGCAAGCAGTGTTTGCTTTGGGGTATTCTTGCTATCCTGCCAGAAGGCAAGGCTACAAGTCATGTTCCAGCATTTACGACATTCTTAAATCCCATACTGCTCTCACCACGAAGGAGGCAAGTTAACGTTTAATAGATTGGGTGTACTTAATAAAAAACAAAGGAGAACAAGCCTGTTCCCATTCCAATAGGTAGAGTTTTACCATAGACTTTTCTGGGGAGGTCATCAGATCTATAAAAAAATAGATTACTGAATGCAACACAATCATCATGTAAGTCTAGTTGAAATATCAGTTCTACACCGTTCTTTGTATGCTTTAAAAGCTTTCCTTGACATCCCGAAACCTTTTGAATGTGCCTCTCCCCAGCTGCAGACTCAGACCACACAGCCAGTCTGCTACCACACGGCTGAGGGGAGGACATCCCCACATCATATGGTCTGGAAGGGCAGAAGCATGTGAGTGAGAGGAAGCCTTAATTACTGGATAAAAAAGCGTGACATAGCCACTGTTTACAAAATCACAAAGAGTTGGAAAAATGGGGGTGCCCAAGAGACTCTTGAACGTCTTCTCTAATACACTTGGTTAAATTGCTCATGCAAAGGTGTTACCCAAGCAGAACGGAAGGATGCTGTGAGACAAATACATAAACTGATGGGTGAGACCTCAGAGGACTGACTGCAGGGTGCTGGTAACTGATACTGAACCTGCTTGCAAGGACAGTAAGTCCTGAGAAGGAGATCCCGAATGATTCAAGGCAAAAGGTCTTCACAGAAAAGCCCAGCTTCCTTGTTTGCAAAAATTCGTAATAGGTCAGGGAAAAAAAAGCTGCAAAAATGAACTGCAGCAGAAGGTGGCTGCAGCAGCTCAGCTAACTAGGGCATTTGGCTTCTATCCTGAAGTCTGATGGACAAAGGTCATCCCTCAGGTGTGAGGCATTAAGATGGGAGCTGAAGTAAAGATTCAGAAAGCGAATATATATACTGCAGTAATTCCTCCCAATTTGTTGCTGTTTCAAAATTCCCTCGGCAGCTGTGCAGCCAGTCACCGGGCTCAGTCACCATCCACCTGCAACGGCCAGCAGGAACTGTGCTCAGGGTAGACCCTCGCCACAAAACCTTTACCACGCAGTCATAGGAGCTGTTGTGCATAGACGCACCGGGCACTGTCAGAGGGAAGGTATCTACCTACCCTTCCAAAATATCCCACAGCAGAGCGACCCTGATGGCCAGCTGAGCTGCAGATGAGTTGTTTCTGGCACGTGCCTGACAGTGTGGCCCCAGCAAACTCAGCAGGGAGCCCCTTGTCACTCTGAACTGTGCCAAGGCAAGCTGTGGTGGCTCCGAAGGAGGACTGGAAGCCTTGAGCTCTAGATACAGCTTTGATAACTCTGCCCTCCGTCGGTAGCATCCGGCTCCTCTCAGATCTATTCCCCAGCATCATCCTCAGCAAGGTGCAGACATTGCTCCTCATCAGAAAAAAAAAAAAAAAATCACATAACCTTATGCTTTGCCTCAATGTTAGTAAAGCATTTGGACATGCTTCACTCCCAGTTCCTAACACACCTACTGATTTGCTTGGTTTGTTAAACCAAGACCAGAAATCCTTTCCTGTATCCGTAGAGGCTGTAATAAAATGTTAATTAGCTAATGTGTTTAGAAAAAGGAGAACAATTTTTTTGAAAATTAGAAGTGTTTTCATTAACTATGGCCTAGGCTATCACCCACTGAAGTCTTTCACATCCCAGTGATTTGAGTGGGAGCACATGAGGTAGTGCTTAGCTAAGGGAGACGCCAGCGCTACCACTGCCATAGTGCCAGAAGAACTGGAATCTTGCTGTTAAATCACAGTTGCTATATGCTGATTCAACCATACTCCCCTGTAAGATTTAGGGATGACCTAGTTTGGGTACCCGTACAGCCCTGCGTGGAGTAGATCTAAGCTTATATAATTCACTTGTGTAAGGATACAGACTGGCTCCATGGCACAAATGAGAATGAAACTCCAATTTCCTCATGTCAAGGTCAGCACCCTACTCACAGACCATCCTGCCAAGCAGCTCTGAAGGGGAAATGACTAGATGGGAACAGACCTTTCCTATACACCACTATGCCCAGCTTCTTCTGATGTTCTGCGTCAGAGTCCTAAATTTTTATATTAAAACTTTGCAGTGCTTTACACGTTTGGCCTGGCAGGCAGTAGATTCGTAACTTCCTGAGACAGCTTCAAAGTATAGCGCTCTGGGGTAGGACATTGCTGAAGACTGTCACCGCCATAGTCACGTCATCACCCAGCGTCACCACAAAAGACTCATAGTGACTTCTAATATGAATGTTTTAGTGCTGTAAGGGGTATCTGGCATACTCAGCAGAGACAGTTTGCCCTTACAAAGCCTCTGTGAATTTCATGCCACTAAAATATTTTCTACTTCATGTGGAGAGACTAAAATGGCAAAGATGCAATTATTGCAGTTCCACTGAGTAGTTACCATTTTCCACCCTCGTATGACTCTCTGTTCAGAATAACCCCCAAGCTTAAAAAGAAAACATTCATCAAGGTCAGGTAAAGTTTTGGAAACAATTAGTTGCAAGTAAAATAAATATAAGCAATTCTGGCCTGTACTTAATGACAAAATGCCTACTTGTTCCAGTCCAGCACACCCAAAGTCCTTGAGGTTTTGCCAGCACAGGGAATAATGACCCAGGTCTCATGAAATCATTCCTCTTATAGGCTACTACCTTCAGTTCAGTATACATTTTTTCCCTTCCCCTCTTTATCAAAAATGTCATCAGGCACTGGAGACCCACACTTTACTATTCCACTTGTGCATTTTCCTCCTTTGTCCCCTAGATGTGTCCATGACAGAGACTTTATAGAGTTCTAGCTTTTATTAACTTTTCCCATCCTGAGCAGCTACAACCTGTTTCTGGCATTTTTTGAGGTTAATAATACCTTATTATGCCTAATTTAAAAAAGAAAATAAAAAATAAAAAATAAAAAATAAAAATAAAAATAAAAATAAAAATAAAATGTAAATGTAA